TTATTTAAATATTTAATAATAACAGTAATAATTAGGAGGATTTAGTATTTGTAAAGTAATATTATAGATATAGGTAAATAAATATAAGTTTCTTTTTGAATAGGGCCATTCTGATCCACACTCCTCACCAGTTGGTGGCGGTAATGCGCACCGAAAAGATGTTTGCCAACCGCCATTAAACGCAACAACAAGACAAGACTCGATCATTTGGATCATCTGACAGAGAGCTAAACATTTTTACCACATTTCTACCAACAAGAGCTGCTGATGAGGTCATCACAGAGGCTGAAAAAAACATCAGGCTGCTGGAAAACTGCTGGCAGCCTCCGATAAAACACCCAGGAAACGGTAGGAAGCTACTAAAAGATGGGTTATTGTTTGGTTCTTTCGGGTTTAGGGGGGCAGCAGCCTCATGTTTGGGCCGCTACAGAGTGACTGGTTTTAGGGCAGCTGCTCTCTGTTGACTCGCTGCTACTCGATGCACTGCGGCGGCCGGCCGGCCAGCCTCCACGACCGTCAAGCCATCACTGGCTTTTTATGGGTCACGCATACACTATGGAATACGGTACCAACGCTGGCTTTTCAAAATAAAACCCACAAGTTTAACCTTCATTAAAAATAATTAGTTAAATTTACACCCCTTTGGTCTAAAAAGTAGCCAATTTCTTATGTTTCTGTGGATATGGATATATGAGAATTATAATGTTTTTTTTTTCTATTATATTACATGGTTAATTTGTGCACTTTATACCAGAATGCAGCTTTATTTTTACCTAAAAACCTTGTTTCCAGTTACTGATTTAACTTCAGGGTGACAGTATGGCACCCCTTGAATCTTCTCAGCAAATATCAAGATCTGGTGTGAAATTAAAAAATTAAAGCTTCTTAAAATTTGAAAAATTATTAACTTTAATCTAATTTGCTGTCAGTTTTTGTAAGAAACCTACTGTTTCCAGTCACTGATTTTGCTTCAGGCTGACAGTAGGGAACTCATAGATGCTTCTAACCAAATATAATCCAGATGTGGAACTTCAAACTTCTCCTGATTTTTACATTAGGTTATATATTGTGAGGTTGTTCAACTTCAAAAGCAATAAAATAAGCTAATATCAAATAATTTAAATGTCAATTTTTGTATATTTTGATTCTGTCTGACCAATACTAGGGCTACTGAAACAGTTAATCAGATAAATCGGTTATTAAAATCATCGTCGACTAATTTAGTAATCGATTATTTGTTAATTGGAGTATTGAGACTCTAAAACATGCCTTCAGCTGACAGAGCGACCCACTTAGAGCAGGAATTATAACAAGATTGGAAAAAATACAAAAAAACCACATTTTGCATTTAAGAAAAAAAATAACATTTTCGTCTATCCACATGCTCTATCCCAAACTCCTCAAGTGGAAAAGTTTTAGTTTCACCTGGTTTAATTTAGTAAAATTCTTTTTTTTCTTTTGAGTTTTTACGGCACTAGTGGCTCGTTTTTTCGACAGTAGGCTGACAGGAAAGGGGGAATAAGAGAAAGGGAGAGACATGCGGCAAACGACCACAGGTCAGATTCGAGGTCGGGTCGAGGACTAAAGGGCAGATTAGACTTCTGCAGACGCACACATCAAATGTCGCTTGGGTCTGGTTGTTAACCAGTTTTGCTGGTATTCTTCCGCACCGTCGGTCTCCAATTTCTAGGCAGTTTCCCGCCAAAGCGCAAGGAGGAGCCTATTCAAGAGATCACAAGAATAGAATTTGTCTGAGGCATCGTACAAGTGGTTGTACTTCCGAACCTCCTCCCTTAACCTTTTGCCATAGTCGTCCATTGTTCCTCGGTTTTTAAAAATGGCGCGCCCCGGCACCGAATCGAGAAGGACGACCACACAGACAGCCTCAAAGGCAAACCAAGGACCAATCACAGCTGCTTTCTGTTAGCATTCTAACTACTGCGCCAACCTGCACACCCCAGTAAAAATCTCCTTTATGGAATCCTTGGCTATCCAATTATCAATCAATTATTCGAAAAAAATAATCGATAGATTAATAGATTTGCAAAATAATTGTTAGTTGCAGCACTAGATAATACTAAACATCCCTGACTTGACCCTGAGCTCTACACCAGTAGAGCCTATTTTTTTATCTATTTTTTCTAAGTTACAACCTTGTTTTATAGAACCTGGGCCATTTCACACAGTGACTGCATTCTGCATGAATAGTGACCATCATCACAATGTTGTTGTCTATTAACATCGACTCTATAAAGTTAAATTGAGTTTGAAAATGCTTTATCAACATTTTATTTGATCATATTTACACATTGATTCAAGTGTCTTTTTCACAAATATACATTTAGAGTTGTCTGCTGCCAATATAAATGCTATTTTTATTTATTCTGTACAAAAAGGTCCCCATTTACCAATTTAAAAAAACAAAGGGTAAGATCTGGTCTCCATTTAAGTCATCTCTATTTTCTGAATAATAAATAAATTTCCTCCTTATACGCTTGAGAATTGGGAAATTTATACATTCTGGCGGGCATTATTTAGCCTGACGTAGTCCGACTCAATTCTAGTCAGAATGAGTCTGATGCTGCTCCATGGAGCTGTGATTATGGGGCGTGTTTCGAACGAACCAGGAAAAAAAATGCCTCTGCACTTAATTGGATAGACCTACAACCAATAAGAGCAACGGAGTGCGTGACGTATGTTAAGCNCTAAAAGTCTTCCGTTCTGCTAATCAAACCTCAGATTAATATGTGGTTTCCATTTTCTACCTTTGGTCTTCCTGGCTGTTGTTTGCTCTCTCTTGCCCTCTCCTTGCATGATCTTTTCTTTTTTTTCCTCTCTTAATTTTGGAGTTAAAGGAAAAACATATTTAGGATTGAAAACCTCCCAGGAAAAAAAACTTGTAAGGTTTCCTACACAGCTTAATATATTCTTACCTCGGATCAGTGCATAAATATGCAACATTTTTCTCTGGCCATTTTGTTTTCTGCAACAAAGTAAGCAGTTTGAAAAAAAAACTTTATTTCATCTTCATGCTGCACCTGCGCATCGTGGATAGCTTTTGGCCATAACGTTTTTAGCTAAATCTTCCTCACGTTTCCTTTTGAGCTTGAGCCAGTTATGCTAAAAAGTATCTTTCTGCTGCTTAGCGTTATTGACGCTTAAAGTTCGGCCCTACCTGGGTCAATCCCGACATCACTGGGTCCGGCATTGCTTTTGATTTGCGTTGTTTCTTTAGAAGCTGGTTCCTCTGTTGATACGGCGATATATTTTTGCATTTTAGCCACCAATCCATAATTATAATATTTTAAAGGTTAAAGACATTAAATATAACCACCGGTTTGCTAGCCAAAAACTACATTGTGATTTAAGAAAAGAAGAGCGTGCACCAGTGAGTATTGAAGATGTTCTTCTTCCTTTAAATCCGAAAACATCAGCATGTGTAGCCACACATTGCCAGGATTTTTTAAAAGAAGGAATTTCCCGCATTATAATATCCGTATTTGTGGGAACGGATGAGATAATGCGCTATTCCAGCTATAGCAGTGATTTTCAGGTCCTGACTTTTGCACCAAAGCGCTGTCCAACTCACTGAATCTGGTTCTGGTGGTTTTGAGAATGAGAAAATGGCGCAGTTGCTGTTTGGATCCAAAACTAAAAAACAGTTTGATATTAAGTTACAAAGACTGGTGGAAATTATATCATCTGCTACATTCTGTGTGCTTCAAACAAATTTACTGAACAAAGTCATTTATCAATGTGACATGAAGTCTTTTATCAAGAAATTTAATCGTATAATTTGAAAAAAGATTTAAATAAGGGGGGGGGGTTGATCTAAAGGACATGAGTGAGAAAATCTGAATGTTACTCTTGTTAAATATAATCTGACTAATAATCTGTGCCTCTGATTGTTGATTTTTGTTTTTTTTAAATTGCTATTAAATTAGAAATAAATAGTTTCCCAAACTAAGGCCCAGGTTAGACCAGGATCCATAGTGATACCCAGGAAAGTGGAATTAATGTATATTAAAAATCTNGGGAGAGACATGCAGCAAAGGACCACAGGTCCGATTCAAACCCGGGTCGCCCGCGTTGAGGACTAAAGGGCAGATTAGACTTCTGCAACCGCACTCATCAAATGTCGCTTGCTTCTGGTCGTGAACCAGCTTCTGCACCGTCTGTGTGGAATTTCTAGGGACGCACAGCAGTTTCCCCCTAAAGCGCAAGGAGGAGCCTATTCGAGAACTCACGAGAACTTCGGTGGATGGTCAAAAGAACTTTTTTTTGGCAGAGACCTTGGCATCTTTATAGATTTTGTCTGAGGCATTGTACAAGTGGTTGTACTTCCGAACTCCTCCCTCCCTTAACCTTTTGTTGTAGTCGTCCATTGTAGTTGTTCCTCGGTTTTATAAAATGGCTCTCAAAATGGTATCGGGGCCCTATTTGTCGGTATTTGCCAATACCATAATTTTAGTGCTGGATTGGGGCCCCGCCAGATTCTGGTATCTGTATTGGTGCAATACTAATTATTACGTAATGTCTAAAAGTCTTCCGTTCTGCTAATCAAACCTCAGATTAATATGTGGTTTCCATTTTCTACCTTTGGTCTTCCTGGCTGTTGTTTGCTCTCTCTTGCCCTCTCCTTGCATGATCTTTTCTTTTTTTTCCTCTCTTAATTTTGGAGTTAAAGGAAAAACATATTTAGGATTGAAAACCTCCCAGGAAAAAAAACTTGTAAGGTTTCCTACACAGCTTAATATATTCTTACCTCGGATCAGTGCATAAATATGCAACATTTTTCTCTGGCCATTTTGTTTTCTGCAACAAAGTAAGCAGTTTGAAAAAAAAACTTTATTTCATCTTCATGCTGCACCTGCGCATCGTGGATAGCTTTTGGCCATAACGTTTTTAGCTAAATCTTCCTCACGTTTCCTTTTGAGCTTGAGCCAGTTATGCTAAAAAGTATCTTTCTGCTGCTTAGCGTTATTGACGCTTAAAGTTCGGCCCTACCTGGGTCAATCCCGACATCACTGGGTCCGGCATTGCTTTTGATTTGCGTTGTTTCTTTAGAAGCTGGTTCCTCTGTTGATACGGCGATATATTTTTGCATTTTAGCCACCAATCCATAATTATAATATTTTAAAGGTTAAAGACATTAAATATAACCACCGGTTTGCTAGCCAAAAACTACATTGTGATTTAAGAAAAGAAGAGCGTGCACCAGTGAGTATTGAAGATGTTCTTCTTCCTTTAAATCCGAAAACATCAGCATGTGTAGCCACACATTGCCAGGATTTTTTAAAAGAAGGAATTTCCCGCATTATAATATCCGTATTTGTGGGAACGGATGAGATAATGCGCTATTCCAGCTATAGCAGTGATTTTCAGGTCCTGACTTTTGCACCAAAGCGCTGTCCAACTCACTGAATCTGGTTCTGGTGGTTTTGAGAATGAGAAAATGGCGCAGTTGCTGTTTGGATCCAAAACTAAAAAACAGTTTGATATTAAGTTACAAAGACTGGTGGAAATTATATCATCTGCTACATTCTGTGTGCTTCAAACAAATTTACTGAACAAAGTCATTTATCAATGTGACATGAAGTCTTTTATCAAGAAATTTAATCGTATAATTTGAAAAAAGATTTAAATAAGGGGGGGGGGTTGATCTAAAGGACATGAGTGAGAAAATCTGAATGTTACTCTTGTTAAATATAATCTGACTAATAATCTGTGCCTCTGATTGTTGATTTTTGTTTTTTTTAAATTGCTATTAAATTAGAAATAAATAGTTTCCCAAACTAAGGCCCAGGTTAGACCAGGATCCATAGTGGTACCCAGGAAAGTGGAATTAATGTATATTAAAAATCTGTCCTCCAAATTCTCTCACTCAGTCCCCAAAGACTGTTTTAAACATTTATTTTCTTTCTAACACATACCAATAAAGCTATCTGCTCACTTGTTAATTTACCCAGTTCTAATAACATTTAGTGCCATTTATTTACTAATAATAATTGAACACATTAAAGAAATTTACCTCTGCATTTAACCCATCCCCTTGGGGAGCAGTGGGCTGCCATTGTGAGGCGCCTGGGGAGCAGTGTGGGTTTAAGGGTCTTACTCAGGGACCCAGAGTGGTAGTCTGTGGAGAGTGGGGTCGAAGTCAAAACCTCAGGATTCCAAGCTCTCTGCCCTAACACTAGAACACCACTCCACATCTAATGTTTGCACGTTTCATTACATTTAAATCTTGTTTAATGAAACTGCAATTAAATTATAAATATGAGACTGGGATGTTTCCAATGTTAGTTAAGACCCAGGAAAGTTAAATTAATTCATGTTGACACTTTGAGCTAGCAATTGGGAAAGATTTTGATTGAATTATAATTGTTATCTATTTTTCTCGTTTACAGAACTCAAAGACCCACATGTCTCAAATGAAGAAGAAACTTTGACCATCCAACAGCTGTTACCAAGGAAGGAGGTCCAGTTCTGACCCGACGGAAGTCATGCCTCAATACACTGAAGATCAGATGGAACCAGATAATCGATCTGCTCCAACTAAACTGGGCGAACCGGGACCTTCGTGGGTTAAAGATGAACACCCAGAGCCCCTGCTTATTAAAGAAGAAAATGAGGAACCCCAGGCCACATGGGTTAAAGAGGAGCTTAAGGAGTTAGAGATGGAACTGAGTGAAAAACAGGATGAACAAGAACCTCCATGGGTTAAAGATGAAGAGCCAGAGCCCCGAATTATTAAAGAAGAAAATGAGGAACTTCAGGTAACATGTGCTAAAGAGGAACAGGAGGAACCAGAGTTTCCACTGATTGAAAAACAGCATGAAACAGGAACTCCATGGATTAAAGAAGAGGATGAACAAGCATCTCCACCATTTAAACTAAAGGAGGAACCAGATTCTTTACAGCTGACTGAATATTTACCACATAGAGAGGACCAGAAGGATCTGCATTGCAGTCAGGAGGAAGAACAGCTTCACCACAAGCAATCCATCACTTTTATGGAGACTTTCAGCCATCAGGAAGTGGATTTGACTGAAACAGAACCAGGAATTCAGCAGCATTCCTTTCATATCTCTCCTTTAGTTGAGACACAAGATCAGCAAGGAAGATGCTCCACTCTGTCAGAGAATAACTCTCAAACTGAAAGAAACAATACTTCTTTCAAATGTGATATTTGTGGAAAATTTTATAAGAATAAATATAACTTGAAACAACATTACAGAGCCCACACTGGGGAGAAACCTTTTCCATGCAAGACGTGTGGAAAAGGTTTTTTTCGGAGAAGTAGTTTAAACGTTCACATCAAAACCCACACTGGTAAGAAACCTTTTATATGCAAAACATGTGGGAAAGGTTTCCCTTGTATTAATGATTTAAATGTTCACAACAGAACCCACACAGGTGAGAAACCTTTTGCATGCGAGACATGTGGAAAATGTTTTTCTCAGAATAGTCATTTACACGCTCACATCAGAACCCACACTGGTGAAAAACCTTTCACATGCAAAACATGTGGAAAAGGTTTTGTTTGTAGTAGTGAATTAAATGTTCACAACAGAACGCACACCGGTGAGAAACCTTTTACATGCAAGACGTGCGGAAAAAGTTTCTCTCAGATAAGTCATTTAAATGTTCACATCAGAACCCACACTGGTGAGAAACCTTTCACATGCAAGATATGTGGAAAAGGTTTTTGTCATACAGGTGGTCTAAACGTTCACATCAGAACCCATACAGGTGAGAAACCATTTATATGCGAGACATGTGGAAAAAGTTTTGCTGTGAGAAGTTGTTTAAATGTTCACATCAAAACCCACACTGGTGAGAAACCTTTTACATGTGAGAAATGTGGGAAAAAATTTTCTCGGATAAGTCACTTAAACGTTCACATTGAAACCCACAGTGGGGAGAAACCTTATAAATGCAAGATATGTGGAAAGAGTTTCTCTCAAATTGCCAATTTTAATCTTCACCTCAAAAAGCACAAGTGTGGGAAAGTTTTTCCGTGTAAGACATGTAAAAAAAGTTTCTCTCAGATGAGGCATTTACATAACCACATCAGAACCCACACTGGTGAGAAACCTTTTACATGCGAGATGTGTGGGAAGAATTTTTCTCAGAGTAGTAGTTTAAATGTTCACATCAAAACCCACAGTGGTGTAAAACCTTTTCCATGCAAGACCTGTGGGAAAAGTTTTTCTAAAAAAAGTCGTTTAAGTGATCACATCAGAACCCACACTGGTGAAAAACCTTTTTTATGCAAGACATGTGGAAAAAGCTTTTCACATACAAGTAGTCTAAATAGTCACACAAGAACCCACACTGGTGAGAAACCATTTTCATGTCAGACATGTGGAAGAAGTTTCTCTAGGAGAAGAAATTTAAATATTCACATTAGAACCCACACTGGTGAGAGACCTTTTACATGTAAGACTTGTGGGAAATGTTTTTCTCGAAATGGTAATTTAAACACTCATTTAAGAACCCACACTGGAGAGAAACCTTTTACGTGCAAGACATGTGGGAAAAGTTTCTCTCAAAATAGCAGTTTAAATACTCATGTAAGAACCCACACTGGAGAGAAACCCTTTATTAGCAGCACACGTGGAAAAAGTGTTATGCAGTCTAGTCATTTCAATTTTCAAAACCCACACTAGTGAGAAACTTTTAACATGCAAGACAA